ATCTTTCTATCTATCTATCTATCTATCTATCTATCTATCTATCTATCTATCTATCTGTCTGTCTGTCTGTCTGTCTGTCTGTCTGTCTGTCTGTCTATCGTTCGCTTTTTCTTTCGTTCACTCTTTTTGTCCTGTATCTATCTATCTATCTTTCTGTCTGTCTGTCTGTCGTTCGTTCGTTCTTTTTATCTGTCTGTCTGTCTGTCTGTCGTTCGTTCGTTCGCTCTTTTTGTCATTCTATCTATCTATCTACATGTCTATCTACCTATCTGTCTGTCTGTTTATCGTTCGTTCGCTCTTTCTTTCATTCACTCTTTTTGTCATCCTGTCTGTCTGTCGTTCGCTCACTCTATCTATCTATCTATCTATCTATCTATCTATCTATCTATCTATCTTTCGGTCTGTCTGTCTGTCGTTCGTTCTTTTTATCTATCTGTCTGTCTGTCTGTCTGTCGTTTGTTCGCTCTTTTTGTCATTCTATCTATCTATCTATCTACATATCTATCTATCTATCTATCTATCTGTCTGTCTGTCTGTCTGTCTGTCTGTCTGTCTGTCTGTCTGTCTGTCTGTCGTTCATTCGCTCTTTCTTTCGTTCACTCTTTTTTGTCATCCTGTCTGTCTATCTATCTGTCTGTCTGTCTGTCTGTCTGTCTGTGTCGTTCGTTCATTCGCTCTTTCTTTCGTTCACTCTTTTTGTCATCCTATCTATCTGTCTGTTGTTCGTTCGTTCTTTTTATCTATCTGTCTGTCTGTCGTTCGTTCCTTTACTCTTTTTGTCATTCTATCTATCTATCTATCTGTCTGTCTGTCTGTCTGTCGTTCGTTTGTTCGTTCATTCGCTCTTTCTTTCGTTCACTCTTTTTGTCATCCTGTCTGTCTGTCGTTCGTTCGCTCTTTTTGTCATCCTATCTATCTGTCTGTTGTTCGTTCGTTCTTTTTATCTATCTGTCTGTCTGTCGTTCGTTCCTTCGCTCTTTTTGTCATTCTATCTATCTGTCTGTCTGTCTGTCTGTCTGTCTGTCGTTCGTTCGTTCGTTCATTCGCTCTTTCTTTCGTTCACTCTTTTTGTCATCCTGTCTGTCTGTCGTTTGTTCGCTCTTTTTGTCATTCTATCTATCTATCTATCTATCTAGGAAGCACAGATTGAACGCCAAAGGAGGACCATTGTTCCTTCAGTTCCTCAAAATGCTGAGAACGAAGCAAAAAGCCTGTTTGCCAAAGAGGTAAAGAACCTCTCAATGCCAAAATTTGAGTGAAGACTACAGCTTTCCAGACTAATAAAATATGAGATCACATTTTCCTGTTTTTCATTTTTTGATGCGTTTCTGCTCATGCGATTGAGTAACTGAGCAATGCTTACGCTCTTTGGCAGTGCATTAAGATGTACAGCACCAACTGGCACGTCATCAACTATAATTACGAGGCCTACTCTGGAGATTTCCGGACGCTGCCCTGGTATGTCAAAGTTTGCATTTTTTGCCAAAGCTTTTGCAGGGCTATTTCCAAAGTTTGGTGTAAGCTACTTTTTCTGTCTTGCAGTAAAGGGATGAAGACGGAAAAGCTTCCCAACCAAGTGTTTGAGGTGGATGAGGGGGAGGAGGTAAGAGACATTAATGTTAGCCGATGGAAAACAGAGTATAGAATATCACTGTCTCAATATCTTATCTTCATCTCTCTCTTGTTTAAACTGTTCTGTGTAATTGTGTATTACCCTGTTTGCCGTGTCAAAACAAACTGAACAAAAAAGCATTTTTTCCATTTTAAAAGGGAAAATATGGTAACCATTTTATCACAGATAAAACACTGGAGTCTTGAGTCTTTATATAAATGGTTAGAAATTTGGTTAGCAAAGAGCAGTTTTAAACATGCAACATACACACTGTGTGTAATTTGTGTTGTAGCACAAAAACAGAATGTTAACCACAGACTAAATCAAAAGCCACTGTTCTAAAAACTCATTAGAAATTTCCGAGGGAACCTGTGGTGAAGCCTTCTCGGTTGGCCTGCAAATTCCCGCCATGACTGAACAGTACTATGGGTGTCTGATGACTTGGACAGAATTTTGATTTGTGTGAAATTATTTGGAGTTAAAAAGTCACACATTTATTGTGTTTTCATGATAATTTATTGCGTTTACGCCCAGATACTCAAGTACTCAGGTTCTCAAGAGTGTTAATGCCAACTTTCACATTCACATCCACCAGTTGTCTTAAGTGTCAGCACATCTTGTTGAATTGTGCTACACCTTCTATTGACATTGTAGATATTGTTCTTCTTCCCAGACAGCACTGTACATTTTGTGAGGCTTCTGTGTGGTCATAATCAGATGTAGAAATGAAGGCCATACGGTTCATTACATGGAACCTGACCCTCATGGTCTATTAATAGACACACACTGAAGTGTCCAGCAGATCTTGATAAAATAGTGGAGAGCTAGAGAAAAGCACATCCATAAAGGACGCCAGGCCACTTCAATTAAATTAGACACACACACACACACACACATTTATAGTAGCTGTAAGTAAAAAATCCCACCCCATTCTACCGTTTATGAATACGTTAATATTACTGTAATAAGTATTGTATTGGTTTTCAAACAAGATGTTTGTAAGTACTTAATTGTTGTATTGTGTTAATGTGCGTGTGATGTTAAGTTACTGTACGAGTGCTTATTTGCATGAATGTTTGTAAAATCAGAACACACAGTGTTCATGTTTGTGTCGGAGCATTTGATCTTTAAGGCAGAGAGGTTGCATGCATAGAAATGCATTGATGTGAGTCTGTGTATTCAGATCAGCCTGTCTGTTCATTAGTTCTTACTTTGTGTGTGTGTGTGTGTGTGTGTGTGTGTGTGTGTGTGTTTCAGGATTCATCATCTCTTTGCTCTCAGAGAGGAGGTGTAATGAAGCAGGGCTGGCTGCAGAAGGCCAACATCAACAGCAGTCTGTCTGTCTCCATGAAGGTTAGTGGAATCATCGGTGCACTTTTATTAAAAGACATCAGCAGATCTACAGCAGTCATTGTTCCTCAATATACTGTACATCTGCTGATCAATGCAGTTTGAAGACCCATTGTTGGAGAGGCCTGTAAGGTCTTTAATTTTTTGGTAAATCAGAAATGTCAATTACATGCACTAATGTTCATACACAAAAACACGTTGTTAACAAAGTGCAGCACTCTGCACTAAATTATGTCTCGCAAGTACTTTGTGTGAAGGATATATGGTAAATTATACAACTTATTATAAGATAAAATAGTCACTGATAGCGCGGCAAATGGCAGCCACAACGCTGAGCTCCGCAATTCTTCTGTTGTTTTTGAATCCAAAAGTTGTACACTTGTAAACTGCACACTTTGTAAATAACATATCTGCACACTTATAACATATCTGTACATTTATCTAAACAATTACTTTTTTCCCCCTATACTTCTATTTTTGTATATAGTAGGGGTGGGGGAAAAATCGATACAGCATAGTATCGCGATATTTTCCGCGGCAATACTGTATCGATACACGGATGCCAAGTATCGATATTTTATTATACTATTTGGTAGAATAATAAAATAAATTTCTTTACAATCCACTAGATGGTGGTGTTGAGATTTTTTCTTGTGAGGTCAGCTGGGTCACCTTCAGCATGCAGTAAGTTAGTAAAATAAAGAGGGCGGCATCACGGAAAGTTATCTGGAAAGCCCCGTCCGTGTTTAAATAGGATGTATGGACTTACTTCGGATTTGTAAACAAGGAGGGGATGTAAGTAGGGATGCACCGAAAATATAGGCTACATATAATAATAATAATAATAATAATAATATATGGCGCACCACCCGGCAGTGTTCAGCGCGCATGTTTCGCTCTCCTCGTCACTGCGCAATTTGACGCTCCGATCAATATTCCGATCTATGAATGTACGTTCCACTCGTGTACCGCTCGTGCTCACCGGAAAAGCAAAGTCCGCTCAAATAACGCGCTGACAGGAAATTAGGCCTACTTGTTCCGGTTTGCAGTAGCGCTACTGTGCTGTAACATGCTGTAGGCTAGTTCAGCTGTACTGGGCAACGCTGCTAAAATGATGTTACCTTCAGTGACGCTATGCTCTGCTCATATGCTCTGATAATAATAGCTTTGTAGGACTATACATTATTTGGATAATTAGTCAAAAAACAAACCAACAACTTATATCTGATTCTGTTACATAGACGTGAATAAAAATAATATATTGATATTTAATATTAAGGTAACTTTTCAATAAGGTTCCATTAGTTAATGTTAGTTAATGTATTAACTATCATGAATATAGTACATTATTTAATTTCTGTTTTTTTTCTTATATTAGTGTTATATGTCTGCACTATCATGTATGTCTGCACTATGTCTGTACTTTCTTCTACACTGGAAGCTCCTGTCATCAAGTCAAATTCCTTGTGTGTGTAAACGTACTTGGTAATAAAGCTCTTCTGATTCAGATTATTCAATCCTATTACTCATTAGTCGGGAGGTCAAAAAATAATTTCATATACTATTAATAATAGATAATATGTGGATATAGCTTGTGTGAAGTGATTTTTGAGCCAAACTTTGTATTCAGTGCTTGAAGTGGATAAAAAGAAGTGCTACCCCCCCCCCCCCCCCAAAAAATTATGCCGAATATAATGCAGAAAGAAAGAAAATTGTCTAGAGCGTTTTTAATATAAATAAGCACCAGTTATGCTGCAATACCAAACGGGACCACAGGGAGGCACCAAAAGACCACTAAACCTGCTGCCTTAAAGGGATAGTTCACCCAAAAATGAAAATTAGCCCATGAATTACTCACCCTCAAGGCATCCTAGGTGTGACTTTCTTCTTTCAGACGAATCCAGTTGGAATTATATTAAAAATGGTCTTTGATCTTCTAAGCTGTTTTAATTGCAGTCAACGGGTGTTGCAGTACTTCATTCCAAAAGAAGTTAAATAAAGCGCATCCATCCATAATAAAAAGTGTCTCACACGGCTCCGGGGGGAACAAAGGCCTCCTGTAGTGAATCGATGCGTTTTTGTAAGAAAAATAACCATATTTAAAACTTAATAATCAATTTAATCTAGCTTGCGCTCACTGTTGTACACGGAAGCAGCTCCGGGCTGATGACGTAGGATGTCGGCATTGCACCGCTCAGAAGTGACGAACACAGAAGCGCAAGGGAGAGATCAAAACAAAACAACGGTCACGAATTAGAAGTACAAAACGAGGATTTGTAAAGAAGAATTTTGGAGGATTTCGATATAAGCCAAGAGGAGACTGGTTTTCCTTTGCTAAAGTAAGGAAACTTTGCTCCTAAAAACAAACATTGGTTTTCACGAGACTCACCGGCGCATGCGCAACGCTGAACTCATACGTCATCCGCCCGGAGCTGCTTCTGATAGTTACTACAGTAGAATCAGCTACTGTAATTATGTTTTGTTATTAGTTTAAGTATTTGCTATTGACTATTCAAATGAGGAGTTTTGCGCATCGCGTGTGTGCGAGAGAGAGCAAGAGAGAGAGACAGGGTCACATCACATCACAGTGGAGTCAGCTGTCTTAACCGTGGCTTGTGTACTGCACACATACCAGCTTCATCACTGTGTCTGTCACGCGACTCTGTTCCCCTTTCGGACTTGAACTGATGGTAAAACTAATGACGTTATTTACTGTCTTTACATTTATTTTGAAAGCTGAAGCTTGCGATTATGGTAGGGGGCGTTACATTTCCGACACATGCTTGTGGTGTCAATCACAATGCACTGGGTCAGTTGGCCAATCAGAGCAGACTGCGCTTGTCGGTAGGAGGGACTTTGTAGAAAACGAAGCGTTTGAGAGAGGCGGGGCATAGAGGACCTACAATAATGTACAGTATTTGAAAAATAATGTGTTTTTTGAACATTAAAGCATGTCAACATATTCTGTTACACCAAATACACCAAATAATGATCTTTAAAAAAGCATCATATGACCCCTCCCATATGAACTCCGATTGGATACATCTGAAAGAAGGAAGTCATATACACCTAGGATGGCTTGAGGGTGAGTAAATAATGGGCTAATTTTCATTTTTGGGTGAACTATCCCTTTAATCTGACTGTACATGCTACTATACGGATCCATTCAGAATAACTAAACCACTGTCCAGCACATAATCTAAAACACCATCAGCCGGCATTCATTATAAAACACTCCTGCTTTTAAGCCAAATACATGCTGAAAAGAATCATTTACTGCCATCTGGACGCGAGTCACTATTCTCGCCGCCATCTCTGATGAAATTGTCTGTGTTTTCTTTGCATTAGCGCTTATTACTTATTACTAATGCTTTCCCTTACTGGAATCTTGAACTTTCCAGAAGTTTACCAGTTTCAAATGATCTCCTGGGTAGTGGTCTTTATAGTGTCATTTCTAATCACCCAGACACTGATGCTGTTACTCAGAAACGGCAACATGTCCGAAGTGCCGGTACGCACGAAAAAGTGCTGGTACGCTAAAGACTAAAATATATATAATACTGCGTACCGACCCACTTCAAACACTGTTTGTATTTCATAAAAAAACTATCAAACCATTTTAAGGAAAGACCAGAAGCACACTTTTTAGGCATAACATTTGACAAAAAGTTGCTTGTTAGGTTTTAAAGGGTTAGTTCACCCAAAAATGAAAATTCTGTCATCAATTACTCACCCTCATGTCGTTCTAAACCCGTAAGACCTCCGTTCCTCTTCGGAACACAAATTAAGATATTTTTGATGAATTCTGAGAGCTCTCTGACCCTCCCATAGTCCGTAATGTAATTACCACGATCAAGGTCCAGAAATGTAGCAAGATCGGTAAAATAATCCATGTGACATCAGGGGTTAAACTGTAATTTTACGAAGCCAAGAGAATACTTTTTGTATGCAAAGAAAACAGAAATAATGGCTTACTATTCTATGCTATTCTGTGTCAGCTGCGTCATGCGTATACGTTTTCTATGTTTTTTACGCTTTGATTTGAATGAAAACAATGTATCCAATGAATTCTCATTGTATTCTCATTTCCAAAAATGAGAATGTGATGTTTATCCCAGGGCATCCAAGATGTGGGTGACTTTGTTTCTTCAGTAGAACACAAACGAAGATTTTTTACTCAAACCGTTGCAGTCTGTCAGTCATATAATGGAAGTGAATAGGAATCACGGCTTTGAGAGTAAAAAAAAACATACACAAACAAAACCAAATTAAACTCTGCGGCTCGTAACGATACATTGATGTGTAAACACGAAATGATCAGTCTGTGCAAGAAACTGAACAGTATTTATATAGTTTTTTACCTCTGATTCACCGCAATGTCTGAACTGTCCTGAGCACGTTCTCAGACGGGTCTTCTTCTTCTTGCTTTACGGCGGATCGCAGACTTATAAGTGCATTACCACCACCTATCTCTCAAATGGACCATTGACACTCTATCTACAATCTCAATTAGGAGTGTCAATGGTCCATATGCGAGATAGGTGGCAGTAATGCACTTATAAGTCTGCGATCCGC